ACTGTTGGGGCCGTTTCCCATACTGTTGAGACGTTTTCCGTACTGTTGGGGTGTTTCCCCCTTCTGTGTTAGTAAGTGTTAGTAGAGGAACACCCAGGTACCTACTTACTGCTAGGTGAACACTGACAGCAGGTGTTAGTAGACTAACACCCAGGTACCTACTTACTGCTAGGTGAACAGTGACAGCAGGTGTTAGTAGACTAACACCCAGATATCTACTTACTGCTAGGTGAACAGTGACAACAGGTGTTAGTAGACTAACACCCAGATACCTACTTACTGCTAGGTGAACACTGACAACAGGTGTTAGTAAACTAAGAACTAGGTACCTACTTACTGCTAAGTGAACACTGACAGCAAGTGTTAGTAGACTAACACCCAGGTACCTACTTACCGAGGGCAGCAGTGGCTAGTGACACAGTGTTAATAATGTTATCACGGGTAGGCCTGTAGGCCTAGCATTTGTAAACAAATAAACTCAGTGATTACCTAATCCTACCAGAATCTGCCAGACTGGTAGCACACACAGCAGGCCTACCTCTCTTGGATAAGCCTGTCATAATTGATAGTAACTCCAACACTGCTGGATGGTAGCTACTGGATCCTCTTGTATCAAGGTGGGACTGATCCCTTTCTGTCATGACTGAGGTACTGACCACCTTCTGTCATGACTGAGGTACTGACCACCTTCTGTCATGACTGAGGTACTGACCACCTTCTGTCATGACTGAGGTACTGACCACCTTCTATCATGACTGAGGTACTGACTACCTTCTATCATGACTGAGGTACTGATCCCCTTCTGTCATGACTGAGGTACTGACCACCTTCTATCATGACTGAGGTACTGACCACCTTCTATCATGACTGAGGTACTGACTACCTTCTATCATGACTGAGGTACTGATCCCCTTCTGTCATGACTGAGGTACTGACCACCTTCTATCATGACTGAGGTACTGATCACCTATCATGACTGAGGTACTGACCACCTTCTATCATGACTGAGGTACTGACTACCTTCTATCATGACTGAGGTACTGACCACCTTCTATCATGACTGAGGTACTGACCACCTTCTATCATGACTGAGGTACTGACCACCTTCTATCATGACTGAGGTACTGACCACCTTCTATCATGACTGAGGTACTGACCACCTTCTATCATGACTGAGGTACTGACCACCTTCTATCATGACTGAGGTACTGACCACCTTCTATCATGACTGAGGTACTGACTACCTTCTATCATGACTGAGGTACTGACTACCTTCTATCATGACTGAGGTACTGACCACCTTCTATCATGACTGAGGTACTGACCACCTTCTATCATGACTGAGGTACTGACTACCTTCTATCATGACTGAGATACTGACCACCTTCTATCATGACTGAGGTACTGACTACCTTCTATCATGACTGAGGTACTGACTACCTTCTATCATGACTGAGGTACTGACTACCTTCTATCATGACTGAGGTACTGACCACCTTCTATCATGACTGAGGTACTGACTACCTTCTATCATGACTGAGGTACTGACCACCTTCTATCATGACTGAGGGACTGACCACCTTCTATCATGACTGAGGTACTGACCACCTTCTATCATGACTGAGGTACTGACCACCTTCTATCATGACTGAGGTACTGACCACCTTCTATCATGACTGAGGTACTGACCACCTTCTATCATGACTGAGGTACTGACTACCTTCTATCATGACTGAGGTACTGACTACCTTCTATCATGACTGAGGTACTGACCACCTTCTATCATGACTGAGGTACTGACCACCTTCTATCATGACTGAGGTACTGACTACCTTCTATCATGACTGAGATACTGACCACCTTCTATCATGACTGAGGTACTGACTACCTTCTATCATGACTGAGGTACTGACTACCTTCTATCATGACTGAGGTACTGACTACCTTCTATCATGACTGAGGTACTGACCACCTTCTATCATGACTGAGGTACTGACTACCTTCTATCATGACTGAGGTACTGACCACCTTCTATCATGACTGAGGGACTGACCACCTTCTATCATGACTGAGGGACTGACCACCTTCTGTCATGACTGGGGTACTGACCACCTTCTATCATGACTTGAAACCCCCATTTGAATACCCTCTTGTAGTGGATAGACTTGAAACCCCATTACCCAAGGAATAATTGATGTAACTATGTATATGTTAGTGTGTGTGTGTGTGTGCTCTCTCTTTCTCAGGAGAGAGAGAGGGAGGGAGGGAGGGGGAGGGAGGGAGAGGGAGGGAGGAGGGAGGGAGAGGGAGGAGAGAGAGAGAGAGAGAGAGAGAGAGAGAGAGAGAAGAGAGAGAGAGAGAGAGAGAGAGAGAGAGAGAGAGAGAGAGAGAGAGAGAGAGAGAGAGAGAGAGAGGGGGGGAGGGAGCAGAGAGGAAAGAGAGAGGGGGGAGGGGGGGTTCTAAGTAAGATAAATATCAGAGGTCGTAAGAGGTGGGGCACCCACGCCAGTATTTCTCTCCTGTACGGCACTGGACCACCAAATGGTCCAGTACGGTTCAGTGACTGGTCCGGCAGAACGTTCAGTGGCTGGTCCAGTAGCTGGTCCAGTCGCTGGGCCAGCAGCTGGTCCACTCTTTTTAACACCTTTTGTGATACCTTCACCGCCACTTCCGGTCAGTATTTATGGGTATGTGGGCAGCAGTATGGGCAATACCCTTTATCCCCTCCCTTATCCCTTCTCCCCTACCTCCCCTACCAACAGCTGACAGGGACACAACACAAACAACAGTTTCTGACTATGGATTGAGTCAGCTTTCAGAATTGCATCCCTGGTCATCCCTGGTCATGGACCGGGCCGCGGTCCATGACCCACAAAACACCCTCCAGGTATACACCTCATAATATTCACACCAAGTCCACTCCCAAATATCTGAATAGATTCACCTCCTCCATACTCTCTCCCTCCAATCTGATATCCAATCTTTCATCACCTAATCTTTTTATTATCCTCATCACCTTACTCTTTCCTGTATTCACTTTCAATTTTCTTCTTTTGCACACCCTACCAAATTCATCCACCAACCTCTGCAACTTCTCTTCAGAATCTCCCAAGAGCACAGTGTCATCAGCAAAAAGCAACTGTGACAACTCCCACTTTGTGTTGATTCTTTATCTTTTAACTCCACGCCTCTTGCCAAACACTCCAGCATTCACTTCTCTTATAACTCCATCTATAAATATATTGATCAACCATGGTGACATCACACATCACAGCCTAAGGCCTACTTTTACTGGGAAATAATCTCCCTCTCTCCTACATACTCTAACCTGAGCCTCACTATCCTCGTAAAAACTCCTCACTGCTTTCAGTAACCTATTACCAGTACCATCTGCCTAGTATGGTCCAGTAGTACCTGCCTAGCATGGTCCAGTAGTACCTGCCTAGCATGGTTCAGTAGTACCTGCCTAGCAGGGTCCAGTAGTACCTGCCTAGCAGGATCCAGTATTACCTGCCTAGCATGGTCCACCAGTACCTGCTTAGCATGGTCCAGTAGTACCTGCCTAGCATGGTTCAGTAGTACCTGCCTAGCATGGTCCAGTAGTACCTGCCTAGCATGGTTCAGTAGTACCTGCCTAGCAGGGTCCAGTAGTACCTGCCTAGCAGGATCCAGTATTACCTGCCTAGCATGGTCCACCAGTACCTGCTTAGCATGGTCCAGTAGTACCTGCCTAGCATTGTCCAGTAGTACCTGCCTAGCATGGACCAGTAGTACCTGCCTAGCATGGTCCAGTAGTACCTGCCAAGCATGGACCAGTAGTACCTGCCTAGCATGGTCCAGTAGTACCTGCCTAGCATGGTCCAGTAGTACTGCTACATGGTCCAAGTACTGCCTAGCATGGTCCAGTAGTACCTGCCTAGCATGGTCCAGTAGTACCTGCCTAGCATGGTCCAGTAGTACCTGCCTAGCATGGTCCAGTAGTACCTGCCTAGCATGGTCCAGTAGTACCTGCCTAGCATGGTCCAGTAGTACCTGCCTAGCATGGTCCAGTAGTACCTGCCTAGCATGGTCCAGTAGTACCTACCTAGCATGGTCCAGTAGTACCTGCACATGGTCCAGTAGTACTCCAGCATGTCCAGTAGTACCTGCCTAGCATGGTCCAGTAGTACCTTCCTAGCATGGTCCAGTAGTACCTGCCTAGCATGGTCCAGTAGTACCTGCCTAGCATGGTCCAGTAGTACCTGCCTAGCATGGTCCAGTAGTACCTGCCTAGCATGGTCCAGTAGTACCTGCCTAGCATGGTCCAGTAGTACCTGCCTAGCATGGTCCAGTAGTACCTGCCTAGCATGGTCCAGTAGTACCTGCCTAGCATGGTCCAGTAGTACCTGCCTAGCATGGTCCAGTAGTACCTGCCTAGCATGGTCCAGTAGTACCTGCCTAGCATGGTCCAGTAGTACCTTCCTAGCATGGTCCAGTAGTACCTGCCTAGCATGGTCCAGTAGTACCTGCCTAGCATGGACCAGTACTACCTGCCTAGCATGGTCCAGTACTACCTGCCTAGCATGGTCCAGTAGTACCTGCCTAGCATGGTCCTGCTAGTGTTATAATGACATATACTGACTAGTGGTCTTGTAGACCCTGTCATGGTCTGAGGTCGCCTATATTGGGTGTTGTGATAAGCCATGACCATGACAGGGGTGTGAGGTCACACCTGGACAACGGGAGTGACCTCAAACAGTGACCTCTCTTAGTAACACCGAGGGTGGATGTCACAGAGCTTACTGCTGACTCTGTCAGCTAACAGAGAGTCAGCTGTGTTTCCCTCTATCTCTGTCAGCTGTTCATCCTCTCTCTCTCTCTCTCTCACACACACACACACACACACTCTCTGTACTCACCTAATTGTGGCTGCAGGGGTCGATTCACAGCTCCTGTGTGTGTATTAAGAGTAGGGAGTTAATATTCTTCTTTTACATTACAGGAGTGAAGCTGGTGTCTGTCGTCTGCCTGATGATGCAGGAGACCAACCTGGCAGACATCTTTCCTACCCAATCACCCACAATGTCTGCTGACTGTGAGGCAGTGCCTGCCCAACCACTGCCCACTGGTACCCTGCCTGCCACCTCTCCCATAACTGCTACTGGCACTCCCCCAGAGTGTCATGGGCCCTCAGATATCAGTTATGAAGGGAGAGTGTCTGCCTTAACTCCTCTAGGAGGCTACGAAGGCAGTGCGAGAACTGCAATGGAGCTGGACCAAGCTCACATGACTAGCATCAACGACGCTAGTCATGTGAGAAAGAGTTATCTTCAGGAGAACAGCGTGGTGAAAGAAGAGCCAATGAACATATCCATTGAACATGATATGGAAGATACATCAGGGATTAAAATCATTCCTCACTTTGAAGAACATACTATAATAAAGGAACATTGCAACAGGCCTACTGACCCATACACGGCAGGTCCCCAGTCCAATTTCCCCGCAGACAATGTTTACACCCCCAGACAGTTGTCCCCTACAGCAGGACATTCACAGGAGGGAACTATCAAGGAGTCAAAACAGGTTGAAAAATGTCAAAGCAACCCTCAGGAACGTAAGGTTGGTGATCGCCTAAACGACTCCGATACTCTGCTTTGCTTCGCTCCACCTGACCACAGTGATCCAATGAGATCCCCCATTGAAAAGGCTGGAGAATCACCGGATCTTCCCACAAACTCTGCTCGAACTCCATCTGGTGAAGAGCCGGACCAGTCATTCAATGTTTATGATCATTCATATGGGAAAGTTGAGAGCATAGAGAGAATGTCTCCATATGATGAAATATATCAGGAGAATGAACAACACTTGCCATCCAGCATAGAACCTGATAGTGATGACACAACAGAGTCCTCCATGATGCACAGTGATATGGATCATCTCTCCCGCCTGCAGTATGTCATGAAGTTATCAGGAGTCATGTCGGGGAATGAAGGGGAGGCAGGAGACAAGTCTCAGGTGTTTCAGTGTCATATTTGTTCGTATTCTGGTACTTCTCGTTTCCACTTCAGCGTTCATGTCAACACTCACTACGACCACAAGTGCGCCAAGTGTGACTTCACCGCTCACACAGAGTCCAAGATGAGAGAACACATGCAGGAGGAACATGATATAAAACTCGACTCAAACGAAGACCTGGAGAGCATCCGGGTGCCACGAGTCAATTCACAGGGAAAAGTGAAAACTTTTAAGTGTAAACAGTGTGAGTATGTGGCCATTACCAAGAGTGACTTCTGGGAGCATGCCCGATCACACATCAAGAGTGAGAAACTTCTAGCCTGTTCCAAATGTCCCTTCGTTACAGAATATAAACATCACCTGGAATATCACCTCAGGAACCATTTTGGGTCGAAACCTTTTAAATGTAACAAGTGTAAATACTCCTGTGTGAATAAATCAATGCTGAACTCTCACATGAAATCCCATAGTAATATATATCAATATCGGTGTTCAGACTGCACCTACGCCACTAAATATTGTCATTCTCTTAAGCTTCACCTACGTAAGTACGGTCATAACCCAGCCATGGTGCTCAACCCTGATGGAACACCAAACCCCATTCCCATTATTGATGTTTATGGAACACGAAGGGGACCCAAGCTGAAGAAAGATGACAAAGGGATGCCAATTCTTCCTCCAAATTATCAGAATCATGCTCAAATCTTGAAGGCACAGATGCATGTCACCAGAAAAATTCCTTCATCACCCACCTCACCCCTGGACAGTCCCCAGGTACCAGGAGTGAGACAACCAGGTTCTGTCCCACCACTGTCATGCACCAGGCCTCCATACTCACTGTTTTCCTACACTTATCCAAACATGATTGAGAACCTGCAAAGCACTTCACCAATCTTGTCTCATACTCTTGAAAAATCCTCTGAGGACCTGCCTCATTCACTAGAAGACCACGAGCACTTACGAGAACTCTTACTGGAACGAGAACGAGCAGCGTGTATAAATCCTTTATCTCCTGAGGATATCCTGAGATGTTCAATATGTGACTTCATCACAGACCGTAGAGAGCTATTTTCACAACATATGATGGTTCATGAACGACGAGAGGATAGGAATGACACTCTTGGTTCCCCGCAAACCAACGAACATTCCATGACTCCAGAACGTCGATCTTCTTCACCAGTACGCCCACCCATGTTACCTCACCAGCGGTTGCCATTCACTAACACCGAGATGGGTCCAATGTACTCACCCTTAGCTGCGGCTCACAATCTAAAGGAATATCTCACCCATATGAACCCCTTTATTTACCAGCATATAGTGAGTAGACAGATTCACCCGGCATTTGGCCTGCAGCAGCACCTGCAACACTTTGTTCAACCAGCTCTTCAAGATCCTCAACCCTTCCCGCCCCAGGAGGAACCCCGCCAACCCTCACCTCAATCTTCCATTGTGCAGATCCTCTCACCTAACAATGACGGGGTCCTGGATTTGAGTAAGGAACAAACACTGCTCCAGCAGACCAGCATGGCTAGTGAGCTCACACCACCTCAACAAATTCGAGACACGAGTCAGGAACCTCCGCCTCTCCATCAGAGGAATGAATCTCGTTCCTCTCTCTCTCCTGATCACCTGTCTCCCCCGCTCTCAGAGACATCAACTCCACCTTTGAAAAATCGCCGTAAGGGTCGTGCTTTCAAGTTAGAACGTATCACCCTGCGTCTTAGTGAAAGTGCTGAAGGTGAGAGTAGTGGACATGATGAAGACATAAGAAAGGAGAGAGAGGAGAGCCATAGTAAGACATGCGAGAACCGCATGCCTTCACTCGTGCCTCTAGCACAACATGGTGCCACACAAGAGACCTGGCGGGCTGCCCACCACTGCCAGTTTTGTGACATGGCTTTCAAAGATGTGGTAATGTACACCATGCACATGGGTTACCATGGCTACCACAACCCATTCACTTGCAACAAGTGTGGCCACCAAGCCATGGACAAAGTGGCTTTCTTCCTGCATGTAGCACGTTCCTCACACTCCTGAAGTCTGATATTATTATTACCACAATCATGACTAAGTGTAATTGATACCTGCACAGGTACAGGTAGATTTGCCAGGACAGGTCCTGGCCCAGGTCTTCTCCATGTGGTGACCCAGCATTGATACCTGTGTACAGCTGCACTGAACTTCAGTTACCTCACATACATGAAATGTGGCTCGCTGTTCTCTTTAACTGGTGCTTGTCTCAATATTGTTCTCTTAAGAAAAACATAAGGGGCACTACTACAGGTCCAAGTCACACCCGCTTCAAGGAGCACTGCTACAGGTTTACTGGCCCAAGCTAAGCAGACTCTTGCAAGTGTCAAGTGAATGAGCATCACTTAAATCTCAGTTCCCAAGTGGTGGTGAACTTAATGTATTGGTTATGACTAAAAATACTAGTTCCAGTGGTGGGTGGTTATGCTAGTGGTTGTAGTTGTCCTGACACAGTAATACTGAGGCCTCCTAGTCACTGTATCATTGTACATAATATAAGCATTAGAACCTGCAGCAGGCCACTGGCCTTAGTACCTCAATCATTCATTAACTCTAAAGCTCGGTTTCCTTTAGACTGACCACTGTAAATAAATATTTCACCTAAAGAATCATAAAGAAGCACTGCACTCGAGTTCTTTATGTCCGTCAAGATAGCATTTACAGTCTTTACCCAAGTAAAGTCTTGTAATGTCAGGTACACATTACTGCCCAAGATGTAGGTAAACTAATATGATGTCTAAACAGCAAAATATATTCTGTGTGTAGTATGTTTAGTTGTGAAAGCACTGAGCTATCATGTGTATTGTGAGAGAGAAATGTGACATGTGGGATTGTGAGAGAGAGCATGTGCCATGTAGGGTCATTGTGATTACAGACAAGTGCACAGGGGTAGGTGAGAAAAGAGAAATGTTACAATGTGGGTATGTAGAAAGCAATATGAGATGTCTATTGTGGAGAGACAATTGACATTGTATTGTCGACAGAGAGCAATGTGCACATGTGGGATTATGAGAGAGAGCAATGTGCACCATGTGGGTATTGTGGAGAGAGCAATGTGACATTTGTGGGTATTGTGTAGAGAGCAATGTGCACATGTGTGTATTGTGAGAGAGAGCAATGTGCACATGTGGGTATTGTGAGAGAGAGCAATGTGCACATGTGGTATTGGGGAGAGAGCAATGTGCACATGTGGGTATTGTGAGAGAGAGCAATGTGCACATGTGGGTATTGTGAGAGAGAGCAATGTGCACATGTGGGTATTGTGAGAAGAGCAATGTGCACATTGGGTATTGTGAGAGAGAGCAATGTGCACATGTGGGTATGTGTGAGAGAGCAATGTGCACATGTGGGTATTGTGGAGAGAGCAATGTGCACATGTGGGTATTGTGAGAGAGCAATGTGCACATGTTAGTATTGTGAGAGAGAGCAATGTGCACATGTGGGTATTGTGTGAGAGAGCAATGTGCACATGTGGGTATTGTGAGAGAGAGCAATGTGCACATGTGGGTATTGTGAGAGAGAGCAATGTGCACATGTGGGTATTGTGAGAGAGAGCAATGTGCACATGTGGGTATTGTGTGAGAGAGCAATGTGCACATGTGGGTATTGTGAGAGAGAGCAATGTGCACATGTGGGTATTGTGAGAGAGAGCAATGTGTACATGTGGGTATTGTGAGAGAGAGCAATGTGTACATGTGGGTATTGTGAGAGAGAGCAATGTGACATGTGGGTATTGTGTGAGAGAGAGCAATGTGCACATGTGGGTATTGTGTGAGAGAGCAATGTGCACATGTGGGTATTGTGAGAGAGCAATGTGCACATGTGGGTATTGTGAGAGAGAGCAATGTGCACATGTGGGTATTGTGTGAGAGAGCAATGTGCACATGTGGGTATTGTGTGAGAGAGCAATGTGCACATGTGGGTATTGTGAGAGAGAGCAATGTGTACATGTGGGTATTGTGAGAGAGAGAGCAATGTGCACATGTGGGTATTGTGAGAGAGCAATGTGTACATGTGGGTATTGTGAGAGAGAGCAATGTGTACATGTGGGTATTGTGATGAGAGAGCAATGTGACATGTGGGTATTGTGAGAGAGAGCAATGTGTCACATGTGGGTATTGTGAGAGAGAGCAATGTGCACATGTGGGTATTGTGTGAGAGAGCAATGTGCACATGTGGGTATTGTGTGAGAGAGCAATGTGCACATGTGGGTATTGTGAGAGAGAGCAATGTGCACATGTGGGTATTGTGAGAGAGCAATGTGCACATGTGGGTATTGTGAGAGAGAGCAATGTGTACATGTGGGTATTGTGAGAGAGAGCAATGTGTACATGTGGGTATTGTGAGAGAGAGCAATGTGTACATGTGGGTATTGTGAGAGAGAGAGCAATGTGTACATGTGGGTATTGTGAGAGAGAGCAATGTGTACATGTGGGTATTGTGAGAGAGAGCAATGTGTACATGTGGGTATTGTGAGAGAGAGCAATGTGCACATGTGGGTATTGTGAGAGAGAGCAATGTGCACATGTGGGTATTGTGAGAGAGAGCAATGTGCACATGTGGGTATTGTGAGAGAGAGCAATGTGTACATGTGGGTATTGTGAGAGAGAGCAATGTGCACATGTGGGTATTGTGACAGAGAGCAATGTGTACATGTGGGTATTGTGAGAGAGCAATGTGTACATGTGGGTATTGTGAGAGAGCAATGTGTACATGTGGGTATTGTGACAGAGAGCAATGTGTACATGTGGGTATTGTGAGAGAGCAATGTACATGTGGGTATTGTGAGAGAGCAATGTGCTACATGTGGGTATTGTGAGAGAGAGCAATGTGTACATGTGGGTATTGTGAGAGAGAGCAATGTGTACATGTGGGTATTGTGAGAGAGAGCAATGTGTACATGTGGGTATTGTGAGAGAGCAATGTGTACATGTGGGTATTGTGAGAGAGAGCAATGTGTACATTGGGTATTGTGAAGAGAGCAATGTGTACATGTGGGTATTGTGAGAGAGCAATGTGTACATGTGGGTATTGTGAAGAGAGCAATGTGTACATGTGGGTATTGTGACGAGAGAGCAATGTTACATGTGGGTATTGTGGAGAGAGCAATGTCACATGTGGGTATTGTGAGAGAGCAATGTGTACATGTGGGTATTGTGAGAGAGAGCAATGTGTACATGTGGGTATTGTGAGAGAGAGCAATGTGTACATGTGGGTATTGTGAGAGAGAGCAATGTGTACATGTGGGTATTGTGAGAGAGAGCAATGTGTACATGTGGGTATGTGAGAGAGAGCAATGTGTACATGTGGGTATTGTGAGAGAGAGCAATGTGTACATGTGGGTATTGTGAGAGAGAGCAATGTGTACTGTGGGTATTGTGAGAGAGAGCAATGTGTACATGTGGGTATTGTGAGAGAGAGCAATGTCTACATGTGGGTATTGTGAGAGAGAGAGCAATGTGCACATGTGGGTATTGTGAGAGAGAGCAATGTGTACATGTGGGTATTGTGAGAGAGCAATGTGTACATGTGGGTATTGTGAGAGAGAGCAATGTGTACATGTGTGTATTGTGAGAGAGAGCAATGTGTACATGTGGGTATTGTGAGAGAGAGCAATTGTGACATGTGGGTATTGTGAGAGAGAGCAATGTGTACATGTGGGTATTGTGAGAGAGAGCAATGTGTACATGTGGGTATTGTGAGAGAGAGCAATGTGTACATGTGGGTATTGTGAGAGAGAGAGCAATGTGTACATGTGGGTATTGTGAGAGAGAGCAATGTGACATGTGGGTATGTGAGAAGAGAGCAATGTGTACATGTGGGTATTGTGAGAGAGAGCAATGTGTACATGTGGGTATTGTGAGAGAGAGCAATGTGCACATGTGGGTATTGTGAGAGAGAGCAATGTGTACATGTGGGTATTGTGAGAGAGAGCAATGTGTACATGTGGGTATTGTGAGAGAGAGCAATGTGCACATGTGGGTATTGTGAGAGAGAGCAATGTGCACATGTGGGTATTGTGAGAGAGAGCAATGTGTACATGTGGGTATTGTGAGAGAGAGCAATGTGTATGTGTGGGGGGGGGGTTATGCCTCACTCACCAAGAGTTCAATCCCTGCCAATAGGGAGTTAGTTTGCAATCATGAGTTATGATTGTATTAAGTATTCAACACCTTTCAAGCTAGGCATATGTGTGATAATTAAGACACATGTGCAACAGTTGGGTATCTTTACTGTTGAGACGTTCTGCCTACACAGTCGGCTTCTTCAGTCGAGTGCAGAGGCAGCAGATGTAGTAGTGAAGATTATGTAATCAGTCCATCAACCTTGGAGAAAATGTATTCAAGGTGGTCAGTCCCTCAGCCTGGAGAAGAGTTCACTTCCACAGAGGATGAGTAAGAAGGGTTGGATTTCAGATGGACCTGCCTTCTTACTGCCACTAGTGGAAGTAAGAAGGGTTGGATTCCAGATGGACCTGCCTTCTTACTTCCACTAGTGGAAGTAAGAAGGGTTGGATTCCATATGGACCTGCCTTCTTACTTCCACTAGTGGAAGTAAGAAAGGTTGGATTCCATATGGACCTGCCTTCTTACTTCCACTAGTGGAAGTAAGAAGGGTTGGATTCCATATGGACCTGCCTTCTTACTTCTGCTAGTGGAAGTAAGAAGGGTTGGATTCCAGATGGACCTGCCTTCTTACTTCCACTAGTGGAAGTAAGAAGGGTTTTTGGTTTCCTAGGGCCCCTCCCCTTCTTACTTCCCTAGTGGAAATAAGAAATTTGGGATTCCATAGGACCTCCTTCTTTTTTCCACTAGTGGAAGTAAAAAGGGTTGGATTCCATAGGACCTGCCTCTTACTCCACTATGGATCCAGCCCCCTAAAACATCTTGGGATCTTCTGCTCACCTTGGAGTATTTAAACCCGCCCTGCTTCAGCTTCATTTTTTTTCAGCCCCATGAAGCGAACCTTCCCCCGCTGGGGGACTGATCACCTCAAATACATTTCCCCAAAGGTTGACGGACTGATTATACAATTTTCTTTTCATTACACACCTATTGACCCTGATTTGACTGTGAAGCCTACTGGTGGGCAAAACGTTTCCATCAATAAAGATCCCCAAACTGTTCATATTTTTTAACTTCATTTGTTTTGGTTTTGGTTAATGGGGGTTTCAAGACTATCTTACACGGGGGTTATTAAGGCTACATGTCCCCCTTACACCACCTCAAGAATACTTTAATACCTAAAATACTGTTTTAATGTAAACACCATGTATATACCTGAGATAGGGTTTAAAAAAACACGAAAGCAAACACATGACATATTATTAAAAACTTTCAGTCCTGGACCTTGATCACTTCCAAAAGGTCCCAGGCCCAAAAACGTTTTCTAATAAAT